CTATGCTTCTTACCTCTGGCTTCCCCAATTTCTGACCTGTCCATATGCTACTAAAGTGATGTGATACTAAAGAAATTCTTGTCTGGGAAATAAGGAGATGGAAGAGTAAAGTAGCTACTAAGGTTTTTCATAAGAGATATATGTAAGTATATGAATGATCTTTCTAAATGATGAATGATATGTTATAGGCTATTAAGAAAATATTAATAAATGGGAGAAACAACCAAATTAAAACCCAAAGAATTCTTTAGATTCATAAAAACAATAACAATCAAAATAAATGATATGAATTTCTTTTCATTTGTTCCTAATTACCTTGGAGCACAACAATAATTGTATCATTATATTAGATTAAGTTTTGCGATAAAATTTAATTATATCAGTAAATTCTAAATACTCCATTTTATAACTTAATATGTTTTAAATCTGTCTACCATTCTCCTCCTGTATGCCAGATGCCAAATTTCACAGTAAAAAATAAAAACAATAAAACAATCCTTACTCCAAGAGGTTTGAATCTTATCTAAAAGTGAGATAACGAAAGGTAAATATCTAACACAGAAAGTAATACACACATTTTTAATGATGGCCAAGATATTAGAAAAGTATCAAGTCCCAGATCTAGAGAATCGATTGAAGCTTTCAGTAAAGAGATGTCAGAAGTGATTCCTGAAGAAACAGCAGAGTTTGCCAACAGAAAGGAAGAATTAGAAATCAAAAGCAAAAGAAATAGGAAATGCTTTCACCTGAGACTTTAGAACTCAAACACACTGAATAGCATATAGGTGGAGATGATAAAATGGGGCACAATTAAAAAATAGTTCTAAAGTAATGAGATTAGCGGAATAAGAGTAAGTCAGGTCACAAGATATATTGTTTTTTATAGAACTTGCACCAAATGTAATAGGGTATTGTACACATATTACCACAGGTTCAAGGACAGCTTGGGCAACATCTTGAGACTGCCTCCAAAAACAAAAGGTAAATAAAATAAAACTTCAACAGAAAGTCTTGTTGAGCAACGAGGGAACGACTTCAGGATTTTCAGAAGGTAATCTGGGGATTAAGTTTGTATTACATTCTCAATTTTGTGGGATGAATGGATTAAATGAAAATTAAGAAAAATGTAAGGAAAGCATCTATGAAGAAGGAAGGAAAAAAGAAAACAAGTAATCACAAATATCAAGAGAAAAAAAAAGCATTTTAAGTGGGCACAACCAGGCAACAAAATCATACAAAAGAGTATTAAAAAACATGACAATTTTTTGGAAAATAGTTCAAATATTAAAAATTGTGTTCCTCAATTCTATACCTCCATGTTAGCCAAGAAATAATGGTACTCCTGACCAATAAGAAATGATGGTATACCTGACCAATGAGACCAATTAAAGGACATCATGCAAGAACAATAAAGAAAGAAAATTCATATAATACCACGGATTGATCCTCGTGATATTTCACTGACTTTAAAGAGAATAAAGTGCATACATATATGTATACAAAATAGTAGCAATTATTTTAAATGTATCTTTCTGTATTTATTTAGTTGTGAGAAGGTACAAAAAGTTTTGAGACTATAAGCCAAACTTGAAACCAGTAATTAGCTTTGCAAAGAAAGAGAGCTTATTGATTCGACAGGATTAAATGTTTTTATTACAATATTAGGGAGTAGTGAAACATGCCTGTAATCCCAACACTCAGGAAGTTGAGGCCAGAAAACAGCCCATCTTGACTACCAAGTGAGATTATCTCAAAAAAAAAAAAAAAAAGGGAATAGCAACAATGGGGGTGGGAGGATGGAGAGCGGAAGGGATGGGAAGGGGAAACAAAGGAGGAGGCAACAATGCTTGATACGAAATGTACTCACTATCTTGACCACATAATTGTAACCCCTCTGTATGGTATTTTCATAATAATAATAATAAAAATAATAAAAAGAAATATCAACAACAAAAAGAAACTAAACACATTTTTAAAATTGGAAATTTACTTTTATAATAGAACAAGTAAAAGTAAGATAGAAAATTACTCACTTACCAATTCATAGGTCTTTGTAACTTTAATGAAAATAGGTTTGGAAGATTGAAGGACCATAAAATAAATAAAACAGATTGAGATAAAATGGAAAGAAAAGAGGTGAATAAAACAGAAAATACAAAGAGCTTTGTTGTTGTTGTTGTAGGTACTGGGGCTTGAATTTAAGGCCTGGGCTTTTATCTCGGAGCTTTCTTTGCTCAAGGCTAGTGAGCCACTTTGCTACTTTCAGCTTTTTCTGAATAGTTTAAAGGAGATAAGATTCTCTGGGATTTTCCTGCCAGAGCTGGCTTCAAACTGTGATCCTCAGATCTCAGTCTCCTGAGTAGCTAGATTTATAGGTATGGACCACCAGCACCCAGCACAAAAATCCTTTGTAATGAATAAGTATAAAAAAAGAAAGGTTTGTTCTTCTCATGAGACAGAAGAAAAAAGAAACATTCTTAGTGAGCCTGATGCTTACCAATACCCTATAAAAACAAAACAAAACAAAACAAAAAACCCTCAAAGGCCACAATACTTAAGTCAGAACAGAACACGATTTAGTATCTTCATTAAGGTGTAAGGGATAAAAATAGCAAGGCCCAGCGTAGCAGAAATTAACTAACCTCCAAGCCAGATCAAAGAAATGAGAAAAGTGATTTTGGTAGATTAGTAACCCACAAGCTAAAAAGGGAAGTGGGTTGACAGTTTTCAAAATGCCTGAGAGTTTTAGTATATGAAAGACATATATTAAGAACATTTCAAACAAAGTAGACTAACTCCAGATAAGAGATAATTAGAAAAAACTTTAGGAAATCCTAAAATGAACCACCATATTCAGCCAGTCCATGATCAGATATAAGAATAAAACTATTATTAGCTTTGGTTATATGTTTACATGTTTGTGTTTATTGCTATGTATTAGTGAGAAGCTGGAAATAAGGAACCATTTAACTCTTACATATTTCAGAGAAATTTTGTTAAACATGTTTATCATTTAAATATTGTTTCAGTATGTTTCCTAAAGCTTTATATGCTGGAGGCTTGGTCCTCCTTGGTGCTTGCAGTGGTGTGGACATGGTAGAATCTTCGTGTGTGTGAGTGAACTCAGAAACTGGGTTCTGTCCCTGAGTTTCTTTTTGCTCAAAGCTAGCACTCTAACACTTAAGTCACAACTCCATGTCTGGATTTTTTTGTAGTGTAGCCTCACAGACTTTTCTGCCCTGACTGGAAGATCTCAGCCATAAGAATAGCTAGGTTTACAAAGGTATGCCACTGACTCCCAACAATGGCAGGATCTTTAAGAGATGATACAAAGCAAGAAGTAGATAGGTCCTCAAACACAACTTTGGAAAAGAATTAATATAGTCTGGATTCTGGTTGGTACCTGTAAGAGTGATATATTGTTTCAGAATAAACAAAATAAACAAAACTATCAAAACTATCTCCCCTGATCCCTCTTTGGCTCCCTATTATGCCATGTGTGCTCCATTTTTTCCACATCCATTCTCACTGCGGTACTATCCCCTATAGTGTGATATCAACAGAGGTACCAATCACAACCAATTTGATGCTGGTGCCATTCTCCTACATCTCTAAAAATGTGATTCAAATAAACTTGTTTTGAAAACAAAATACACAGGCACAGGCATTTTGTTATGGCAATAGAGACTGGAATAAGACAAACATTAATAACAGGAATTATTTGAAAAGAGTGTATAAATCAAAATTTCTTTTGTAACTCAGATCCAAAATGTTCATAAATATCTCTAATATTAAAGAAACAATGCCTTTTTTTTGTAACCAACTCATGATTTATTCAGTTGATCACTTCCTGATGTTCAGGGCGAAAGAGAATATATGTAAACTAATGCCCTATTCATCTATGCAGTGTGGTTCACTGAATTTCTTTTTTTTTAATTGTGAAAATACTGTACAGAGGGGTTACAATTACATGGGCAAGATAATGAGTACATTTCTTATCAAGCATTGTAGCCTTGAACATTCCTCAATATAATAAAGGCTGTGTATGACAAACCTACAGCCAGCATTATACTTAATGGTGAAAAACTAAAGCCATTTCCTCCTAACTCAGGAACGAGACAAGGATGTCTACTCTCTCCACTTCTCTTCAATCTACTATTAGAATGCCTAGCTACAGCAATAAGACAAGATGCAAACATAAAGGGGATCCAAATAGAGAAAGAAGAAGTAAAACTCTCCCTCTTTGCAGATGACATGATCTTGTATTTAAAGAATCCCATAAACTCCACTCCCAAATTACTCAAGCTGATTCAAAACTATGGCAAAATAGCATGGCATACAATTAACCCTCAAAAATCAATGGCTTTTCTGTATGCCAACAATGAGAAAAGTGTGGCTGAAATTAGGAAAGCAATTCCATTCGTAATAGCCCCACAAAAAATAAAATACCTAGGAATTAACAAGCAAAGAAGTGAAGGACCTCTATGATGAAAACTTAAAAAACTTAAAAAAGGAAATCAAAATAAAGAAACAATGTCTTGTTAGCCCATTTATTTCTGGAAAACTCTTAGGAAGAAAATAAATGCAAACAACTGGTTATATCTTTCTAGGTAGCCAACTTATCCAGAAAATTACTAAAATAAGCATCCAAAACTTCTTCTACAAGAGGGGTGCTCATATTCTGATGAAAGAAAGAATAGAGGTGGCAAAGCCTAGCCTTGGGATGGTCCCAGGTAGAAAATGCCCTTGAACCATAGCAGAATCCTTGGTGCCCATTAAAACATAATGGAATGACCCTGCATTTCAGTAAGAAGAAGGAAGCATTACAGCATGAGAATTGAAAAGGAGGCTGGAAGTTTTTTAGTTTGGCCTTCAGGGGAAATAATCACTACACTGACATAGGGAACTCTCCATTCAGGGGACTGAATATGCTTGGTTACATCTATTTAAATCTCATTAGAATTCAAACTATGTGTTGTATTAGTATTAGTAGTCCTCACCTTAAGAGTTCAATTTGTAGCAAAGGCAAATTCCTCCTTTGATGTATCCTATAGGCTGCCTTCTGAGAATCAGAAGAGAACAACCAACTCCTATCATTTGAACATGGAGCATCAACTAACACCTAAAAGAGGGAAAAGAAAAAATGATGCAAATATATCCTAGACATAAAGTGCACAGAGAAGCTACATGACAAACAGCAATAAGTAAGTAACATCTATTTGGGTCCCAAAATACAACATGGTAAGTTCTTCTTTATAACATTTCCTCACTATTAGTTTTCAGAAAATTTTCCTATGTAATTTCAATGTTCAGGTTTAGTTTGTATGTTTATTTTCTGTGTTAGTAGGGGAGAAGATGAGAGGAATAAAATCTAATAATGGTTACTAATGACATTTGATATTCTTTTTTTTTTGACAGTACTGAGAATTGAACTCCAGGCCGCATAAATGAAAGGCAGGCTTTCTACTACTGGAACCATGCCCCTACCTCCTTTTTTGCCTTGGATAATTTTGAAGTCGATTTTCTACTTTATGCCCAAGCTTGTCTAGACTACTATCCTCCTATTTGTGTTTCTCCATGTCACCAGAGTGACAGGCATGGACTTCCTCTGCAGGTGGGATAACAGAGACCATCCATTGGTTGAGATGGAGCACCACAGATTTGTTTTTACATAGGCTGGCTCCAAACTATCATGTACTGATGATCTCTACCTCTCAAGTAACTAGTATTATATATGCATGATCCACCAAACCTTCCAACATTTGATATTTTTGATGGTCATAACATAAACTAACAAAAGTTACTTATTTTAAACAGACACTCTTAAATAGTTAAACTTTCAGCCTTTATTTTAAGAACCAATACTGCATTTGACTTTGCTGAGTAACTTTTTTCTGAATTCTCACACTCTCAAATGAAAAGTTATTGAATTAAAGCAATACAGTACCAGTATGTATGTACTGACTCAAATAATATCTGATCTCTTCTTGAGTACCTCTGAGGTAGCAGTAAGTAGAAAATGTCCTATAATCCCTAACTCCAATGTTACTGTTTCCTCTGAACCATATTGGCCATCTGATGATGACTTCTATGTTTACTCTATCAAAATTCCTCAAAGTACTGAGAAACTTTATAGCAAGCACAAGGAAAACAACTTGAAAGTAACATAACAGTGGTATCAGTGGGAGCCCATCAGTTTGTTGCAACGTAATAAAAGTACCTTGTCAAATGCTTCAGGTTGGGCATGTCCCAATTCTCTGCCATCGAATTCTGACACTTGAATTATATTTATCAAAGGTTGTGGGATGAATGATTCTAGTGTCTGCCTCAGCCATCTCAATCTCAGACTATCAAATTCATTACAATGAAGATAACCTAAATATAAAGTTTCAAATGAAAATAGAATTGACAAATTATTTTCAGCAATATATATATATACTATATACTGTATATATACTACTGTACACACACATATACACTCTTGAGACAGAGAGACAGAGAGAGAGAAAAGTCAATTCATCATGGGCATTAAAAAAGACTTGATGTTTATTCAATATCTTGTCCTTTAAAAACTGAAATACTGACACAAGTATACATGTAATAAAACATTTATAATAGGCATGGCTCCATACCCTCCCAGAAGCTCTCCTACTTCATCAATTCATTCTAATTGAGAGGGATGAAAATCTATAAATAATTATGTAATCCAAAAGATATGCTATACAAACAATATGTTAAAACACAGTTCTCACACTAAAGCACAAGCCATTAAAAGAAGAGAATATATTCTACTACAAATGTAAAGTTTCTTCTGTGGCATGTGTTTTATTTAAAATGAAGGAAGGTAGTGTGTTGGATTCCTTAATTTGAGACATATTTACATTGTGTGCTGGGAAGACTTCAAGAAAGATAATTATTTAAGTGTCTCAGTTCTAGCTACCTTGCAGAATGTTTCTTTTATTTTTTTTTTTAGGATTAATTGCGATAAGTTTTTGGGAGCAAAATGGTGACTGCAAAAGACCCATGAGTGATTGTATTCCCATAGTCTTACTCATTTGAACAGGTATTTGCATACCAAACTCCTTTTACACAGGCTAAGGAAGCTAGGTGAAAAACTATAGTGTCTGGTTTGAATATAATAAAGATGCAAAAAGGAAAGATTTGTCATGGTATCCCTTCCTCAACTGAAAGTAGTGTGACACGGGGAGAGAGATTTTTCCTACTTGCAGACAGGGAAGGAATTAAGTTCAGACATTCAGGCCCATCACACTGAAACGAAGGCAGAGCTTCATAATCCATGTTCTCAGGCTAGTACTTGAAGACTGAGCTCTACACCTTTCTTAGCCAGCCAATGAGTCTACTATCAATTGGGCGGAAAGGTGAGGAGCAAGACTCCATTCACTGGGGAGTAGAAACTTTGCTTGAAGCTCACTGTCAAGAACAGAATAGTAGAGATCAAATACCCTTGTCGCTCTTAAACTGTTTAGTAGTAGGTATAAACCTGAATCTTGATGGGACATACTTATGTTTCAGCATATATCACTGTTAGATTTTGCATGGGTCTGATGCACACCCTTAAGCCTGTGCAGGTCTGGCAATTTTGAGACTCAGGTGTGCCCCCAGCTAGCATTAAGGCAAGAAAATAGGAGGCTATCTCTACTAGCCCTCCCACAATTTTAGACAGCACAGAAAACAAATAAGACTCATTCTATGGAGTAAAGAAAAGACCGCTGACTCACACCTGTAATCCTAGCTACTCAGGAGGCTGAGATCTGAAGATTGTGGTTCAAAGCCAGCCCGGGAAAAAAGTTTGTGAGACTCTTACCTCCAATAAACCACTAAAAAACCAGAAGTGGCACTGTGGTTCAAGTGGTAGAGCACTAGCCTTGAGCTGAAGAGCTGAGGGACAGCGCCCAGGCCCAGAGTTCAAGCCCCACGACCGACAAAAAAAAAAAAAAGAAAGAAAGAAAGAAAAGAAAAATGAACATAGGAGCCTTAGAACTCAGTGCCAGACTAGTGAAATCTATACTGGGTATATTCTAATAAAAGTTTTATATTCCCAAGCTAGTGCCTTTGGATGGAACCTCTGGTTATACCTTAATGCCATGGTTGATTGGAAACTTAAATTTAGACAGCATCACCTGTGCCTGATTGCAGCAATCCTGGGCCATGAGCACACCTCAGCAGCAGATAGTCCTTATGCTGTGCCAGTCTCAACAGGTGTGGGCTCTGGGTGTAACTCAGGGTGGTTGCAACACTAGTAGCCTTGGAATTGCTCCTTTTATTCATCCCTGACCCCAGACAAGAAAGAGAAATTAATCTCCAACTTGAACTAAAAGGGCACTATGCTTCAAGTCACTGAAAAGGAGCCTGGGGCCAGGCATATCATGGTATGGCTTTGTGTCAGGCAAAATCTAGCAATTCCTGGATGAGGCATTTGGTCCTAATCTGACCTTATATACAATTTTGCAGGCACAGATTAGCCTACTTAGAGCATCAAGCCTATGAAGGATATGGACACAATTGAGTTTAAGGGATCCCCTGGGACTGAAGCAGAAACAAGGCTTGGACTCCATGCAAACGTGAAATTAGGGTGCCATCTAGTGCTGAAATTACCAGAAAGGCCCACAGAATCAGAGGAAGTAAGAATATAGTCTAGTTTCTGTAAAAACTGGCACAAATGCAGATTAAGTGAAATAAATACCTAGTTCTTCTGTGCACAGACTATATCCTAATGTAGAAAACAACAAGATGTAGAAAAGAAAATATTAAAGAAAACAAAATCTCATTAATCCTTCAATAATCTTCAGATACTCAGTGGCAAAATATAGGAGAAATAGGAAGCTTAAAGATAGATTGAGCACTGTTTTTTTTTTTTTGCCTTGATAGCACTTTTTATAATCTGAAAATATTTCATGTTGATTTATACTATTTCATGAAAATGCAGGTATAGAAGACAAAGACAGAGACCATATATGCAATCTAAATAGAGAAAACTGCCTAGAGCTAGGACTCTAAAGTGTTAGACCCTTCATACATTACTTGCCTATGTAATGTAAGGGCCATAAGGCTAATGATAAAATTGTCTCTGCTACTTGTAAATAATGTTATATCTTCACAAAAGCACAAAATTGCAACAAAGAATTTGCTTAAAAATTAAGTGACATTAGATTAAAACGTATTTGGGAATAAAACCACTTTAATGTCCTGGGTTACTAAACATTTATTATAGACTAGACACAGCCTGTCTCTAACTCATCTACAAATCAGCAGAGTATCATGGTGAAACTTCAAAAATGAAGAAATAATTCAGATCTTGGCACTGCCATTTAGGCAGTTTAGTTAATTTCTCTTTGTCTCAGTTTCATGTGTAAAAATGTGGTTAATAATCATTAACTCAAGCCATGTAGAGCTAAGAGAGGCATTATATATTAGTGATAGTCACACCATGATTTTCTAATTTCTAGGATTTAGAAGATTTTTTTATGAAGATATAAAACATTGGAAAAATATATTGGAAATACAGACTGCTAAAACATTCAATATCACATTTTTAGGAACATGATTAACATGGATACATGCATGTGTTCCAACATAAGTTATTATTTTGTTATTAGTACAAAGATGCACCTAATGAAGGGAAGTTGATTTCTTGGGAAAAACCTAAAGGATAGAAAGATGATAGTAGGGGAAGCAGACAAAATGGTAAGTGTAGCATGAGAAAAAAAAAAAAAAAAAACCTAGAGATAAGAAGCAGCAGGAAGGAGTACAAAAGCAATTCAAGGAAGATGTCTTTCCAATTTTATCCACAACCAAAGGCTTACCAGTTGTCAAAATGTTATTACTAGCTGGCAACTATGGTTTGAGACTATAATCAGTTACGAAGGAAGGAGACTGTGCTATAAGGATTGAAGCCAGCTGCACAGACATATCTGAGAGACTTATCTTCAATTACCCAGCAAGAAAATGGATCAAATGGTAGTACCACTTATGAGTGAAAAAGCCAAGTGAGAGAAGAGGGCCATGAGTTCAAAACCTCCATAACTGTACACATACCAAAAAAATGTTATGCTGGGCACTAGCAGGTCATACATACGATCCTAGCACATGGGACACTGACATCTGAGGATCACAATTCAAAGCCAGTCCAGGCAAGAAAGTCTTTAAGACTCTTATCTCAAATTAACCACCAAAAATGAGCTGGAAGTGAAGCTGTGGATCAAGTGGTAGAGGCCTAGCCTTGAGTAAAAGTGCTCAGGACAGCATTCTGATTCAGTTCAAGCCCAGGAATGACACCAAAAAAATATCCTTAATACTGATAGGGAGAAGAATTTTACTGGAAAAGAGCTATAGCCAAGAAAGCTGAACATACCACTTGATCAAGCTCACTCACCATTGTTTAGTATGTTCACGGTTTACTATTTAGAATTAAAATTGTTTGTTCCTTTACTGTCACAATTAAGATACTTCAAAGGATGAATTCACACACACACACACACACACACACACACACACACACACACACACACAGTGACGAGTCTATCACTGTGCAAATAGGTGAGACCAGCTAGACCAACAGAAGAGTGGAGTATTTTTTTTCCCAAATCATCCTAAAACATAAGCTCTGAGATCATTTAACACAATGAGCCTCTGTCCAGAAAAACAGCAAATAATGACCTAAAGAAATTTGGTGCATAAAATTCACTCCTAGTATAGCCATCATTTTAAGTTTTGCTTATAAAAGCTTTGATTAGCATTGCTTCTGCATTCCAAATTTGAGGCCTGTGGCTAACCTAATTTTGCACTTCAAGGATCAGCATGAAGACATCTGTACTTCTTAGTGAACCATTATCATTAGTCCTACTTAGAGGAAAAACTACTTTACTTGGAACACTGCCTGCAGTTCATTACCCTTGATGTAAGAACAGGAAGATTCTTTCTCACTTACTTCAAACTCCTAGATTATGTCAGTTTGCCTCTGGGTTTCTAATCAAATCAGCTTCCTTTCACAGATGTGTACAATATTTATAGCCTGCTAATAATTTAAGGTTAAAATGCTCCCTCTTCAAAATGAAACCCAATGTGATATCTCCCTTCCATCTTTCACAATACTAAAAATTTTGTATTTCCAGTATTATCAAGTATAAAGTTGTAACAGCCAGTATAAAAATAGACTAGAAGTGGAAACAAATATTCTTATAATACATAATTCCATAAAATTCATCTTTAATTAAATCAATAACAATACAACCTTACAAAATGATCTTGTTTATTTTGCTTTCTTACCCTAAAATATGGCAAGCTTCAATAACAGCTTTTACCAGTACTCTAAAACTTGCACTATATTTTCTTCTAAGTTAACCGACCTAGTCATACCCAGACAAAGTACATTTAGACTGGCATTTCTCACTTTAAAAAATTATTTCAATAGCAAATCTCTCAAGGGAAGAAATAAGTTACCGGTCTTCAAACTGGGATGTGTATGCCCTGGAACTAAAACTACTAATAACTTTCTAAGAGAATGGCAGGTATGGATAGTTTTAAAAGAATTTTCAGACATTACCTTTCTAAAGGAGAATACCTCCAGTGGAACGTCTTTTTTCATATGGTCATTCACTAATTTTATAAATATAAAATATAAATATAAAATATAAGCAAATTTCCTACCCATCAAGAATATTTTTTGTTTTTGGTTTTTGTTTGTCAGTCATGGGGTTTGAACTAGGGGCCTAGGTGCTGTCCCTGAGCTCTTTTGCTCAAGACTAGTGCTCTACCACTTTGAGCCACAGGGCCACTTCCTGGCACTTGAGGTTTTGGAGTGGTTTATTGGAGATAAGAGTTTCATGGACTTGCCTGGCCAGGCTGGCTTCAAACCATAATCCTCAGATCTCCTCAGACCTCTCTCATCTAGAATCTTAAGGCAAACTTTACTGAGTTTAAAAATTCCCAGAGCATTAAAAAAAAAAAGGGCAGTTTAATATGCTGGTGTCTTGGTTGAGAAAAGTGAATAAATGAATGAATAGATCTAACAATTAAGCAACACTGCTTTTTGTAACTAAAATGCCTTCAAATATTTGGATTTTGACAACAGTGGAAATGAATTTAAAGTATGCTCTCATAAAAAAGTAATTGAAGTAATGCTTAAGGATATCTGAAGATTTGAGACAATATTTCTGAATGAGACTGAAGAGCCAATGAAGCCACTACAACAGAGTTTTACCATTTGTATTCTATTACCTGTGTGAACAACAGCATTTACACTTATAAAAAAATAAGACCATCCAATAAAAATCAGACAGAACTGATATTGAATTCTGCCTCATCTAGAAATAAGTAATAATCAACCAAATATCTGGGTTAGTTCTTTTTTACAGTATCACTTATTAACAAAACAATTGACATGAATGTTGATTTGTTGCTTTCAATGATAATACGAATAAAGATTTTTGAGGTCCAGAGTTCAGTTCCCAACAACAACAAAAAGTAAACAATAATTTACAATGTTATCACTGGCTTATCCGCATTTATACTATCTGGTGATAGTGTCTGTATGTTTGTTTTCAGTTCTGTGGCTTGCCCCAAGGTTTTGAACTTGCTATGTACTCATTCTACCACATAAGCCATGTTAGTCCTATGCCTTTAATGCTTTTTTTCAGATAGTCTTTTTGACCAGACTAGCTCTGGACCTAAATCCTCCCTCTTTTGTCTTCCAAGTAGCTGAGATTATGAGTATGAAATATCATATCCAGCCCCAAAGATGCTGTTATTTTTTGTTTGTTTTTTTTGTCGGTCGTGGGGCCTGAACTCTGGGCCTGGGCACTGTCCCTCAGTTCAAGGCTAGTGCTCTACCACTTGAGCTACAGCGCCACTTCCAGTTTTCTGGTGGTTTAGTGGAGTTAAGAATCTCATGGACTCTCCTGCCTGGGCTAGCTTTGAACCGCAATCCTCAGTTCTCAGCTTCTTGAGTAGGTAGGATTACAGGCGTGAGCCTCTGGTGCCCGGCTCCAAGAGGATGTTTATACTGACTTCTCAGCTAAAATATCTACTCTTGAGCATAATATCTGGTTTTCAGACTTCCTAATGTTATAAATTCAATTTTACATTTCTTCCCATATGTTTTCACAGTATTTGACACATACAGCTATTAAAATACTGTCAAGTTCTGAAAGAAAACCAACTACCTGGGTAAGCACACTGCAGCAGAGCTATTGATTTGCCTCCAGGTGCAGCACACAGGTCCAAAACCTTCTCTCCATCCTTTAATTCCAGTGCCAACACTGGCAGAAGAGAAGCAGCATTTAAGAGATAGTATTTTTTCAGGTTCCCAGTTTGGTGTCTTTCTGAAGGCATTCGACTAGGAGTTCTACTGAGGTAACATTTCATAGATTTAGGGTAGTAGGATAAAGATCCTTCGACAAGTGGATGATAGCCCTTCAAATGTAACTCCTCTTCCAGTGCAGAAGGATAACTGAATCTGTTCAAGAGGACAGCATGTTGCCATAGCTCTGGAGAAGTGAGAATATCTCTAGAAATAGAAAGAGAAAAAAATATTAATAGGGTGAGTGAGGTCCTGGATTTACACTTCATTTGCGGTGATTTTCAGTGAAAATCAGTCTTCCCAACTTTTCCTTTTCCTCCATAAATGGCTCCAGCAAGCACTGCTGTGATCTTATTTTTATTTTAAAATTTGATTTTATTCATTATGGCTTCTAGAAAAAGAATTTCCAATACTAAAATATTATAATTACTTTGTGTGACCCTTTACATACTGCACCAGAAGGGTATGCCTCATTTGCCCGTTTCAGGTCTCTGAAGAAAATAAATCTTGCAAAAACATTTTTTTAAGGGCCTATCTTAACTGTATGTCTGTGAAAATAGATTTCGGTCTGTCATTATTTGCACAAAAAGTATTTTTCTTAGAGATAAAATTTATGACCAGATACTATGGTTAGAAATATTATGATAAAAATTTTGTTTGAAGGAATGAATATTAATGTTTCTGTCTGCCAAGGATAAAAAGAATAAAAAGCTAACTACAGTGAACTCTACAGTAATAGAGTTAATGAGGTGATGAGTGGCTCAGATGATACAGATCCTTGGATGATTGAAAAATCACTTATAGACTGATGATGCAGGCTTGCCCCCAATAGCTTTAGTTTAATTTGTATTTGGTCCAACAATTAGATCTCTTGACAATCAAGCTCACATCAACCGACAGATGATGCAGCAGGAAACATTTAATTTATTTACTAGCTGACCTTTCTGGCTGAGTTATTTGGGAGCCTCATTAACCATGGTCAATTAAATAAATTCCAGCTGCTGTGCACCCTGGAGTTGCCTAAGAAATGGCTGGATTAAAATGTAACACCTGTGACTCATGCATGCCATGTGAATTTCAATTTAGGTCCAATATGTGCTTTTTCCACTCACTGCTTCTTGCTTACTATGGACGGGGCCAAGATAGTTTCCTGGCATATCTATTTCAACTACTTATCAGGGTAAGAACTTTAAAGCTCGTCAATGTCTGGAGAAAAGACTACTGAGTCCTACCTGGAGCTATTGATTCGGTAAATCTGATATAGGGCCTAAAATCTGCATTTTGAACAGGTTTTCAAATAAAACTATTCCTTTAAAATATACTTCAATGGGAAACCTATGAACTGTACAACAAATCTTATGAATGTGTATCCCAGTCTATCTAAATTTGATTTTAAAAAATTATCCAGCATTTGAGTCATGTATAACAGAGAAGTGGTCAGAAATATAATTGAATTTATGAAGCCTGTAGTGGCTTGATCTATATCATATACCTTGTAAGCAATTTGTATTGTGTATTAGGATTTGTATTGTGTGCTAATAAAAACACTTTCAACTATTTACCATCAAATAGAACAAATATATAGTCATTGGTTATTTTTCTTCTTAAGAACTTTAAAAGCTATTCTAAGTTAATAAAATAATTGTATATACAGATACCAATAGTTGATAAAAGTGACACATTAATAATTGTGTAGAGTTACCTTCCTAAACCAGACTATTAAAATGATTAAATGAGCACACTCTAGTGAATAGTTGTAACAGTTACCAAGGAACTGCTAATTTTGAACCTGTTCAGTTTAGCCATTTCTAGATTATATTGTAGGATATATATATATATTTTTTTTTATTTATTTATTTGCTGGTCCTGGGGCTGGAACCCTAATCTTTGATAAGGGAGCCAAAAACACTAGATGGAAGAAAGACAGCCTCTTCAACAAATGGTGCTGGCAGAATTGTCTATATACATGTAAAAAACTGAAGCTAAATCCTTACATATCACCCTGCACCAGAATCAACTCCAAATGGATCAAAGACCTCGAGGTAAAAGCAGATATCCTGAAAATATAACGGGAAGGGATAGAGGATACACTATGGCTCCTTGGCACGGGTCGAAACTTCCTAAATAAAGATCCAGAAACAACAAATCAAAGGGAGACTGGATAAATGGGATTGCACTAAAATGCAGAGCTTCTGCAGTGCAAAGGACATAGCTAGCAACTTAAATAGCCCACAGGTTGAGAGAAGATCTTCACTAGGCATACAATAGAAAAGGGCCTCAAATCAAAAATATACCTAGAACTCAAAAAATTAAACCCTCCAATAACAAATGCTCAAAGAAACAACCACCTCATTAACCACCTCTTTCCTCTAGAGAGGAAAGAAGAATAGCCAATAGACACAGGAAGAAATGTCCAACATCTCTGACCATAAGAGAAATGCAAATCAAAACAACATTGAGATTCTACCTCACCCCAGTTAGAATGGCCATTATCAAGAAAACAAATAATAACAGACGCTGGCTGGGATTTGGACAAAAGGGAATGCTACTACACTACTATCAGTAAAACTGGTTCAACTACTTTGGAAAGAAGTATGGAGGTTACCCAAAAGACTAACCATAGAGCTCCTCTATTATCCAGCAATCCCACTCCTAGGCATTTACCCAAATGATCACAAACAAGGCCACACTAAAGCTATCAGCACAACTAAGTTCACTGTAGCATTTTTTACCATAGCTAATACATAGAATCAACCCAGATGCTCCTCAGTAGATGAATGGATCAAGAAAATGTGATATATATACACACACACACAATGGAATTCTATTCTTCCATTAGAAAGAAATGGCATCATTCATAAGGAAATGAAAAGTCTTAGAAAAAATAGTAATTGAAATAAGCCAGACTCAAAGAACCATAGGCTTCATGATTTCTCTCATTTGTAATTAGAATATGTCTAGGATAGTCCTAGCAGAGGATGACAATAGCTCAATAGCTATGTACATATGACCATATAAAATGATGCTAATCAAAATGAATTCCAAAATAAGAAAACAAGAGGGTTTTTTTTTGTACTTTAATGTACTATGTGAAGTTATTTCTTATTTCATTTTCTTTCCTTTGGTTTATCACGTTGTATGGTTTATCCTGTATTTTTACTTATCCTTAGGTTTATGGTGTTTTAGATTTTGGCACCTTGTGTCTCATCTACACGTTTATCTGATTTAGGGACAAGAAGGGGAATAACAAAATGGTAAGACAAAGGATACAGTGTCAACCAATGGAAGAGCAATACTGAAAAGACATTATGTTGGAAATGAATTTTACAATCAAGAGGAAGGGAGTTAGGGAAAGGAAAAATGGGAGAAAATGATGGAGAGGTTAACATTGTTTGACAAGAAATGTACTCATTACCTTACTCATGTAACTGTAACTGATCTGTACATCATCTTTACAATAAAATTAAATTAAATTTAAAAAAGAAAACCAGGGCTGTAAACTGATTCCTGAAACTTGATGGGCCTGTATAACCCAGAAAACCTTTCTGTAGAATGTTTCACTATTGCATTCTGTTGTTACCTCCCATATGCTAAATCATTATTGTTTTCTTATCAACATTCACTCATTTTTTAAATATAAATTAGATTTAGCCAGGCATTGGTGGCTCACACATGTAATTGTAGCTATTCAGGAAGTTGAGATCTGAGGATCGTAGTTCAAAACCAGCCTAGGCAGTGAAGTCCGTGAGACTCTTATCTCCATAAACAGAAAAGGTCAGAAATGGTGTTGTGGCTCAAGTGGTAGAGCTCTAGCCTTGAGCACAGAGAGGCTCAAAGACAGAACCTAGGCCTTGAGTTCAGGCTCTAGGACTGGCAAACAAAAAGTATATGAAAACATTTTATCTAGAAACTGCTAAACTGAACAGGTTCAAAATTAGCAGTTCCTTGTTAACTGTTACAACTATCCACCAGAGGGTGCTCATTCAATAATATTAGTGTATGGTTTAAGAAGAATAAATGAATTCATGGAACACACAAGAGTATGTTTTCAATCCATTTTATTTTTAGTCATCAGAAGTTCTAATGATGAGATGATGGTTTTCTTTCTTGGCAAAGTTTCTTCCTTATCACACATACAAGAGAAATTCATGGCAAATTTCTTATCTACACTACATAGCAAGGAAGTTCTGAATGAGCATTAGTGTTTTTGGTCAAGATAGCAAAAGACTAAAAAACCAGAATGTAAGAATATTGGAATATATGTACACACTCCAGAGTTCTGGATTCCAGGCCTCTCATACCAGCCCAAATGGCATGCATTTGCCATAGAGTGTAATCATTCTTACCACTGAGTTTTAAAGGAGCATAAAATTGCTACTTTATAGGGTTTTGCACAAATTCAAGTTGTATGTATGTGTATAAAGCCAACATTTGGGACAACATAGAAATCTAGACTAGTTAATTTCTCTCTTCCTTAACCATCCCATTCTACCACATTATACAAATCTGGTGATACTATCGAATCAAGCAATTATTTTCCCTTTGTATCTATAAACTTGGGTCAGTAAATTTTTTTTTTTTTTGCTTATTTGCTTTCAATAGAATACATAAAATTTCCATGAAGAAAAACTTCATATGAACTGTATTCATTAGCCCATGTCTCAAGTTATCTGTAAATAAGATAACTACATCTTAGAGGGTTGCACAGAGAATTGTTGTTGGTTTTACAATGATGAGACTATTGGCTGATATGTGTAGTAGTTAAAATAAGCAAAAAAAAAAAAAAAAAAAGGTAGGAATTAGCAAACTACAGGTATTATAATATGCCCAATAAGAGATGATGAAAGCCTAACTAAATAGTGGCTTTAGAGTTAGAAAGAATTCCAAATTTAAAAAACATATATCAGGCAGAAGCAACAGCCTTGTTTGTTTGTTTGTTTTGATTTGATAGGGGAAAGAGTAGTGTTGTGTAATATCATACATTTTGGGAGTCACCAAGATAACTCTCACCAATCACACCAACTACACAATTTGTGGGATCCCATAGACCACTCTCATGGTTGACTATTCACTAGAAACACACATTAAAAACTGCTGTACTTACAATTGCGGCTACAATTTATCATAGAAAAAAACATATAAATTGTAGGTATGCCTCAAGAACAAGCATGAATTTTTGATTTCAAACTGTGGTATGACAAATAAGACCCACTTTTCTTCACAGTAATATGTGAAAATATGCATAGGAGTACTGGCACTCAAAGGTGCTCAATAAGTTCTGGTGTCCAATTTCATGAAGACCCAGAAAGGCAGACATAGTCAACTGCCCTTTACCTTTTATTCTCCAACACTTGTGAAAGGTTGAGCTGATATGTATGCTAACTTTCCAGACAAATCACATTGTTGGACTCTAAGGTGTGGCTCAAGGTCTCCAGTAAACATGACACTCTTATCAGGTATATTTCAAGGGCTTATATATCACCTCCATAAAGGTGAGAGAAATGTTGGACTTAGGTGAATGAGGATCATTTTTTTGTTTTTATTACAAAGGTGATGAGGTGTAGAAGAAAAAAGAGATAATCAGATTAATGGTGATACTTTGAGATAACATAAGCAAATATCCAAAGCAATGAGAAAAATGATATTCTTCTCAGTCTGCTGAATATAACAACTAATTTTAATTTTCAGAACACTTCGAGTAGGGAAATGATACTAGAAAGGACTGCATGGCTTCAGACAATATATTAAGCAAAGTTTAAAGTCTTGCTTTGGATTTGAGAAAGAACTAGAAGGTAACATGTATTACAAAAGTTGAACTCAGTAAACTTAAACTTTAAAGGGTCTCTAAGAGGATGAATGGCCAAGAAAGGGCATTACAAAACAGCACAATTCACTACAATTAAAACAAATACTAAAACTTTCAGCTAAAATTAGAGTTATTATCTACACAAGGAAAACATAAAACACTTGAGTTTTCCTGGAACTAAATAGAAATCTACTTAGTTAAAAGCACATTATTACGCTTTATAAATTGTTACAAAACAAAAATACATAATTCTATTCTTATTTACTAAGCTATTTTCTATTTTAGATTGCCTTCCGAAAAAGCCTTTATTTTGCTTATAGTAACTTTAGTACAGTTATGCAAAACTTAAATTAACATAAAATCACAACAAAAAGGTAGATGAAGCAAAAGGCACAGCTAATTAAATGGGTTTGAGGTTCACCAGTCATTTTGTTTAGGGTCAAACAATAATTTATCAGGCTGCCAAAGCACACTAAATACAAAAATAACTGATTACAGGGTATGAGTAGCCAAGTTTCTTTAAAATATACAGATGAAATATCTCTCGAAATCTTTAATCATCCAAGTATGCTTTAATTACATTCCAGGTAGGAGCAGCAGCACAGAACAAGGGTTAACAGTGGGAAGTCCTAAGTTAGAGAACTTAAGCACAAGTTCCAGCTCTGTTTTTTACTAGCTGAGTAAACATGGTCAGGTTAACTCTAATAACCTTAAATGAAAAATGAAAAACAACTCTTACATAATGTATCTGAAAAGCACTTAAGTCAGCATTGTCTGTTACATTAAGCATTCAAGATATGTGATTTGGGATATACCTTTGCATACTGAAAACATCATTAATTTATTACACACTTCCATTCCACCTATGTGACAAAAGATACTCATATTGAAATCCAGCTGTGAAATAAATACTGTCTATATACTACCTTTTCATATTTTACCTTCTCATACTTATTTTACCTTTTCATTTCATGTCTCCAAAATAGCTTTAATTTCTTCTAAAATTATCTTAAACCACATCAGATTGTATTTTATTTGCCAAGACTTAATCTTTGTTCTAAAAATTAGTTAAAGCTAATCTGTATACAGAAGACATACTGTGAGTTAATTCAAGTAAAAAATAAAATGACTATGTGAGTAACTATTGTCTGAACCATGATCCAGATCTATAACTTTTTCCCCTGTGACATAATGGGTTGGGTTTTGTCCTTAACTTCTCCAATGGTGCATATTCTTTGCTTAACTTACAATGTGTCTGCTTTCGTCTGCCAAGTTAACACTTGTTAAAGTCACTAAGACATTGTTTTTGCTCAGGCCTTCGATTTGACAAATAAAACAGGTGTATGTGCCTACTTATATCATACTCATCAAATTAGGAGTTTACATAGTTAGAACAATGCCACTCTCCTTATAACACTAGATGGTAAGCAATCCAGACACTAAGACTGTCTTGCTCTTTGAAAGACAGTGGGTGTTATAAATCACATACTTGGTGTCAAAGGCCCATATAGTAACACTGTGAACAGTAAAACTCAACAAACAAGTCAAATTCCTTAATTTTATGAATTATTTTTATAATACTCTTAATATGTATGTATGTTCAACAGACACATCAGGGAATAAATGATTATTAAAGAATTACTGTTGTTGCATCTTACTTTTTTTTGTCAGCTTACTCAGGTCCTAGGTACTATCCCTGAACTCTTTTGCTCAAGGCTACTGCTCCACCACTTTAATCCACAGAGCCACTTCAAATTTTAAAGACTTTCTTGCCCAGGCTGGCTTTAAACCACAATCCTCAGATCTCAGCCTCCTGAATTGCTAAGATTATAGGTCGGAGCTACTGGAGCCTGGCTTTTTTTAAATTTTTAAATTTCAAAAACTACTCAAAATTTTAAGAATCTTTTGTCATAACTTTTCAAACTTAGTGATCAGTTGTTTCATAGAGCAAAATAATTGCACAAGAAGACATAAAATTTTCTTAATATCAGTTTTCCTTTTTCTGCTGATCATTACCCTATCATTATAACAATTTCCTATTAGTGTCTGCTTCCAGGTTTAGAGTCTACCGTTTATCCTCACTGCATCCAACCTCCCCAAAATTAACGCTAAATCCTCTCTCCCAACGGTTCTCTCAGAGCATCAAGAGATTATACTAACCTTACTGTACTCCAGGAATCTCCGAGTTCGTTGGAATACTGTTTTTCAAAATGATCCAACACAACTTTGCAAATCTGCTTTGCAAGCTTCCCCTCTGATTTTGATCTCAGCTAAGATTATAAGGGAAAAAAAAGATACTGACACTCAATGATAATAGTACAAATTTATTGAACAACAACAGCGTGGTCTTTTTATTTACAAGAAATTCAAAAGCTACCCCTGCCATTTGGTCATGGAAACATTATTAGCTACAACAAAGCTGTGTTACTAATACGCAATCCACTTATGCAAAAGCAAGAGTTTTTCAACCTGATCGCTGTCCAAACGTGAAGCACAGGTGAGAAGTGGAACTAATCACGCCAAGACAACTGCATCAAGGAGAACAAAACTGACTTAAAGAAGACCAGAGGCGGCTCCGTGCAACGCCTCACGGGGCGTGACTACCTGTGCGCGCCCCCCGTGAACCGAGGCCGAGGCCGGACAGACAGGCCAGGGGGCGGGGAGGCCGGACAGACAGGCCAGGGGGCGGGGGAGGCCGGACAGACAGGCCAGGGGGCGGGGGAGGCCGGACAGACAGGCCAGGGGGCGGGGGAGGCCGGACAGACAGGCCAGGGGGCGGGGGAGGCCGGACAGACAGGCCAGGGGGCGGGGAGGCCCCGTGTCTTCCCGGAAACTTACTCCTTAACGAAAAGCGTTTCTTTCGAGGTCCAAGAAAAATGGGAGAACCCGGCCCTCGGACCCCGGGACACACAGCGGCCCGGAGCGAACACCGCCCTCCCCGCCCCCGACGCGCCAAGGCCGGGCTCGAACCCGGGGAAGCTACGCGGCAGCGGGCCGGGCAGCGAGGCCCCGGGCAGGGAAGAGGGTGGGGACCTCGGGGACTCGAGCGCACCAGCGCACACGACACTATTCCAGGCTAGGAGACGCGTCGGGGTCGGTCGCAATCGCCGAGCCGGAGCCCCGGGGCCTCACCCGAGTCAGCATTGTCCCAGGAGGAGCGTCCGAACGAGACTGCGTCGAGACTCGACATGAGAACGACCGAGACGGAACACCCGACTTCCGCGATGGCCAGACAAGCCGCCGGCTCGCTGGCTTTCCTGTTTACGATCTCGCGAGATCCCCTTTGGACGAAGTCTAGCTAGGAGATTGACAGCTTCCGCGAGAGTTTCGCGGGAGGCGGCTCCGCGGCTCCCCGAGGCCGGTGTTTCCTGGGACCCGGATGCTGTGGGCGCCTAGGGCGTGGGAAGCTGGGGCCCTGCTGGGAACTGGGAGAGAGGCCCAGGATTCCGGGGCAAGTTTCACTGGTGAACAGTGTCCGTGCGTGGTCTCAGCCAGAGATCCTGTCGCCACCCGGTGATTTATCGTTACTGGCTTCTGCTTAGGAGTCCATCAGTCTGAGAACTAGTCACGGGGGATGCGGAGAAAGCTCAGGCTGGCTCTGTCCCAGGATGGCAGGTTAAGTCGGATCACACACCAGGGGAATGTTACCACAGTGTTCCATCCGTAAAGAAACGGAAAGACTTGGGAACAGTCGCATCGAGCCCGGCCAGACCCCAGAGATACCGGCTGCGGGGTTCCGCTCCTTCGTGTGACTGTACTGTGCTATAAATCTACACGTAAACATCGCGCTTGGCTGTGATAAACGGGCCTGTGAGCACTCACAGACCGGAGGAGATGGCGCCTAGGAGAGGACCCCAAAGGCTCATGGTGCATGTGATCATACAGTACTTATTGAACGCGGGGATGTGGGTTTTGTTTTTTTCTTCGTGGTCACTTTCATGTCTTGTATGTAAGTTTATTTGGGGGACAATAGAACACAAATGGTGGGACAAAGGGTGAACAAATGCAGCAGTAATACTCTAGACACTATGTTGAAAGTGAACAATATAATGGGGGAGGTTGAGAGTGAAAAACTAGGAGAAAGGGAGGGAAGAGGTTCAAGAGGAAATGTACACATTACCTTACATAACTGCAGCTCCTCTGAGATCACCTTTAAAAATAATTTCTTTTGGGAGGGTCCGGTCGTGGGGCCTGAACTCTGGGCCTGGGCGCTGTTCCTCAGCTCTTCAGCTCAAGGCTAGCGCTCTACCACTTGAGCCACAGCGCCACTTCCGGCTTTTTTCTTTTTGCTTATGTGGTGCTGAGGAATCGAACCCAGGGCCTCATGCATGCAAGGCAAGCGCTCTACCACTGAGCCACCTTCCCAGCCCTACAATAACGATTTTTAAGTATATTATTTTAGTCTTCAAATTTAAATTGTCTTTCTGAAAACATATTTTTAAAAAATCTCATTATCCAAAGAACCTCATTTAAAACCAACAAATGTAAGAGGAACAACATGCTGGCATAAATTATTTTATTGTGTAAAAATGTAATTAATAATGATCAAGAATAAAAATGTAGCATATAACAAAATAGACATTTAATTGTTAAAACCTACATTAACAAAATATCTTTCAAAGTATTTATTAGGACACTTTAGGGAGACAAATTAATTTTCAGTAGGATTATATAAAACATTGATTCCACTTTACAATATTCCAAAATCTTTTATTAAACGATGTCAGTAATTATCATACAGAACAGTAAATATGTGTAGTATAAGAATTTTAAAATGTCTTCCAAATCAGAGGAATGGGGAAAAGATAGGAAATGTATGAGTTAGTTTTTTAAATGAATAAATGTATGTATTACAGGAATCTAATATAAGCCAATTTTCCCTTAAAATCCAGTCCAAAATCTGTATCCTGTCTTCCTCCAATGCTTATTCTCACATTTCAACTGCCTATCAAATTTAGGAATTTTGTATCTGAAGTGGAATGCTTTTTGATCAGTGTGATAGGTATGTCACACATATAAACTCCAAAAATTGGTACCATAGTGACTATAGAATTAAGTGGCCTGTTTATGAAAAATGTGAATACAGTGGGATGCTCTGAAGTAAAATTTAATCATAGGAAACTGCTCAGAGGCACGTACTGCGTGCTGTCAATGTAAGATACTGCTGTCAATGTAAGTTACTAAATGCACCAATCTTATCAAGGTGACTTGAGAATTACTGTGTTTATCTAATTTTACCCTTGATATAAAGTCAGGCTTTCAATTAAAGGTAACATTATGAAACCAGTACTCAAAAGTATCTAGCTAAAAGTTGGAAGACAGATGAGTAGAGAATCTGATGATACTCTCTACTACAAAAAAGTGCTATTATTTTAAACTCAGAAATTAAGAAAGCATATATAAACAGTATACGAGCTAACTTTTATTCTTATTGCTTTAATGTCCAAACTTACTTGTTGCAAAATATAAACCTCTGGACCTGCAGGTGCCTTTTAAGCCGTTTTTGTCTTGAAATTTAAGTCAGAAAATAACTAGCTCCTGACAGTATAAAGGACTGGTGCGGAGCACCATTACCTCTGAAAGTGTCTGCTTCTAGAAACAGGGGTCTACTGTATCTTAGAATAATGTTCACAAAACATATATTTATCTTAATGAATTTTAGTGAATATTTATTTTTAAAGAATCTTTTAAAAATTAGATTTTAAAAAAGCACTTCAAGTCTAGGGTTCAACACCAAAGAAAAGAAGAAAAATAACCACAAATGGAACTGTGTCCTTGGGTACATATCGTTTAGTAGAAGATCTGAGAATTTGCTTTTGTAAAAAAAAAAAATTAAAGTTAAGCCAAAAAGAGAATGGATACTTGAAGAATAATGCTATTACAAAACACTTCAACCCATATAAATATATCCTGTTTGTATAGTTCATGTCTGTCAATCAACTCTATATTCCAGACACAGTTTAAACAAAGTATCTGCAGAAAAGTGCACAATGAAGAAAATAGAAATTAAACAAAAGTTTAGAAAAATATAAAAATAGTTAAAAATGTAGTTACAGATCCCCAGGAATTCCCATTCCATACACATGTATCTTACAAAAAATGTTTATTGTATAGAAATACAGACTATTAAATAGTAAATAAAGTATTCTGAGTCCACTGTCTCTACTTCTAAGGAGGTTTTCCTTCAGGAACATGCTCATCAGCAGGATGTGTTAACCATAATGTCAACACTAAATCTTGCTAATTCGATTAAAATGCTCATACAATCTATTGGTCATTTTGTTTCCTTCCTGTTTTATCTGTGACGATATTGGAGAAGCAAATCATCAGATCAGCGTCTTGGCTATTTTCTTCACATTAAAATCAGTTATTTACTTCAGTCATCAATGCTCAGGGTTTTTCTCCTTTTAGAAATAATAAGGCTCCAGATCCCTTTTCTAATGTTGACAGCTAGTCCACATGACGAGGTTATGAAATCACATCATGAGCCTCACTGTTAGGTCTCTGTCGTACAGCCAGTGGAGGCAGCGGCTTCCCATAGAAATCTACATAAAGAAGGAAACCAAAACCACAAAACCATTATGGAAGTCAAACTTTTTGAAACAGTTTTTTCATATTCCAACCAACATCTTCAAAAAGAGCAAAACAAGAAGTTTGGTCAAGGAAGATGATATAGGTAAGGAAAATAGGAAAATAAAAACAAAAATAAGAAAACACAAAAAAAATGTGAATAAGTTCAAACAACCAAGGTAAATTCTACTCGACTTAGTAAAATGCTACATAAACACACTAATATCTATCTATATTGGTTTCTAATTACATACTCATGTAAGAACAGATCAAATATATTCACATCTTCACAATGTTCTCACAGGATACTTGTAAATCTGTATTTGTACATACTGTGTTTTTATCCAGTGGTGATTACTGCTAGGTATTTTAGAAGAAACAAGTTACAATAATGCTTCTGCATAGTTCAATGATTAGGGAAATTTTATACAAAATAGTCTATCTTTAAAATAAGTTTCTATTCCCTTAATGATCATAAATTGGCTTATAAGCTTAATGGCACATATGTCATCTATAAGTAATTAATTTCGAGTCTACTATCTTAAAACCATTCCAGAATCATTAGGTGTTCAGGACCATTTAAACATTAAAATTGTATAGGAGGAATATTCAGTGCAACTAGTAGGCGTCAATGATGCCCTGACATATGTTAATATAATAAAATAACACAATGAGTTAAAGTATGGGATTCAAAGCTGACAGATCTAAGCTCAAATCTGGATTCTACCATTTATTAGCAATGTGGAATATATGAGATCATCATGCACAAAAGGCAGACATTGTCATGCTATAATTTGGGAGAATTAAAACTTTAAGCACAATGGCAGGCATAGGGTATATGCGATATTATTCTTGCTATCATTAAAATGAAAACAAAGGTAGTTCTTCAGACAAATTTAAAAATATTTTCAGAAAAGATAGATCAAATGCATGTGTAAGAAGTATCTTTTTCTTTCCCCCAAATTAAGTTCATATCTGTCACTGATTTTATCGTATTTTTGCCAAAAAAATGCATTGTTCCATGCATAGGTATGTGATTGATTTCATCATAGAGGATACAAGTAGAATTTAATATAAGTTGTACATAAATAAAATGATCAACTTAATTGCCAACACACATCCTAATAAAGAACTTTAAATATTTTAGTTTATATATTTGGTATTTTTGACTCTTTGACTCATTTCTCATGTAATACATAATATATGACATGGACAGAATAGAGGTTGAGAGTGCCCAGAAAGCTAATCAGTATTCTCGGTTAGGTCTTTTCTCCGTATGCATTTGTCTTACCATTACACCAAGCAAACTTTGTATTATTAATGCTATTTAAAAAGTAGAGTCAAAGGCAGGCACGTCCCTGTGGCTACATGCCTAGAATCCTAGATATTCAGGGAGGTCGAGATCTGAAGATCATAACTGGAAGTCAGCCCAGGCAGAAAATTTCATGAGAGTCTTAATAGAGCTGTAGCTTAACTGGTATAGTGCTAAACATGTTTGAGCTAAAAAAAAAAAAAAAAAAGTAAGGAACAACACCCAGGTCCTAAATTCAAGCCTCAGGAACACACACACACACACACACACACACACACACACACACACACACACACACACACACACACACTCAAATTATTATCAAGGTAAATTTCTGTAATCAAAGTGTACGACTCAATT